ATATATAAGAATTATTTATCACTATTTTTTCTTTCACATCTATTGTTATTATGATTATTAGTACAGTGTTGATTAATTAATATGTTTCAGAAAAACTTAAATAAATACTTTTATAATTAAAATATTAAATGGTTTACGCAATGAACGAGCAAAAACCTTTAAAAATATAGTATTTACAAGGAATAATATTATTTATTTGAATTTTTTTTTGTGATTTTCCTATAAAAAACAAGTACTCTTAAAGATTGTGTGAATAGGTCACAGAGGGTAGTTGACTTTCTTCCATGTGTAACATGGTGGAATTAAAAAGGCAAATAGTAAGGACCCTTTACTTGGTGCAGAAATCAAGAATAAGAAAAAGTAAAGAAAAAAGAAAAGAAAAGAAGATTGCGATTATGATAATCCCTAGTCCCAAGTCACGTGACTTTTTTTTATTGTCCGTTTAAAAAGAAAATAATGTTTTATATTTAAAAAATTTATTTTTAAATTTCTCAATTTAGTTTTAATGAGATATTTTATTATTACATATTTTTTAAACTTATTTTAGATCATAACTTTAATTTTTTTTCTTTTTTAAATTTTTTGTCATATTAAATAGTGTCACATAAATTGAGACAAATTAACTAAAATTTTGTTTATTTATAAGGCAGAAAATTTCTCCAAACGTACTCAAAAACATAATAGCCATAGGTATATCCGTGGTACTGGAGATAAGGAGGGACCATAGTTCCTGCGATATCGGTCATTTATTGTCCTTTTAGAAAAAAAGGTTTCTGGATTTCTCTCATCCTTTTGTAAAACAATCGCATATATAGGGTGTGTTTGGTATGATGGAAAATGTTTTCATGGAAAATGAGTGATTTTATCACTTATTTTATCTTGTTTGGTTGGTAAGTGGAAAATATTTTCCGGAAAATATTTTCTATTGTTTGGTTAGAGAGTAGAAAATAGTTTTTTTTAGGAAAATATTTTTTATGCAACTCTCCTCACCCCTCCCCCTCCCCCACCCCTTCCCGAAGTCTCTAAAAATTGACACAATCTAAAGGAACTAATGTGATGCTTTACTTTTTAACGCAAAAAACCGCGTATTTTCGAACCCGTAAACTTTATAATTTCTAAACCCGTAAACTTCCAAACACATAAACCTCCGAACTCATAATTTTGGAACTTGTAAAATTTTGAGCGTTTAAATCGATAAATAATAAAATTAAAAACTAAAAAATATATTTTAAATTTTTTTCGGGGGGGGGGGGGGAGGGGTGGGGTGGGTGGGGTGGTGCAGAAAAATGAAAAAACGGAAATTTGAAATTGTAAAAAGAAAAAATTTAAGGTAAAAAAAGTATTTTTTTTGCGGAGGGGGGGAGGGGGGAAGAGGGGATGGAGGGGTAGTAGGGGGGATGGTAACGAAAAAACTGAAATTTAAAAAAAAAAAACCTTGTTTTGGAAAGGGGGTGGGGTGGATTGGTGAGGGTGAGAAAGGTTGAGAAGGAGCTTTGGAAAATGTTTTCCCTTCTTTTGATAAGGAAAACATTTTCCTCCAATTGGAGGAAAATGAATTGATAAGGAAAATGTTTTCCAAAACATTTAACCCAACCAAACATGGAAAAATTGGAAAACATTTTCCAGAAAATGTTTTCCTTCATACCAAACACACCCATAGTCAGACGACCTCTATATCTAGTATACTTATATAATAATTATTCACTATAAAAGTCATATATACATCAAAATCAGTTTTATATTATGTTATATTATAATATATATCCTTTATAACAACACTTCACTATAATAGTCAAAAAATCGGAACAAACGAGGCTATTATAGAGATGTTAACTGTACTTTTGCAGTAAGTAACAGATTTACAAGAGGGCAAAGTTCCAGAAAAAAAATCTCTAGTGTATTCATAAACCTCTTTTAGCAAAATAAAGGAAATAGTGTGATGCAGTTATTTTTTAAAGAGTGAATTTCATTAAACCCCTTTAATCTTTAATGGTTGAAAAATAATTTTTTGAATGGAACAGATAATCCCTTAATCTGAGCAGCATTTTTTGGTGAGCTATAAAATTTTAATACAAGGAAAATTGTGCATAATAGTAAGGAGCTAACCAAACATAAGACACAGTGAATTAGCTGGACAAAATAACCTACTAGCACAACAAGAAATTATAGTCACCTATAGCAAAACTCGCTATGGGTCAAAATCTGACCACAAGTGGATTATCATTAAAACGAATGGTAAGGGGTCGACCAAGTCATAGTCGTACCTGTAAGGCGTAATGACGACGAGTGCCTCGGCCACTGCCGAGATCGAGCCATCGAAAGGCTTGCACGACAGAATATATGCCGTAATGCTTGAGCAAGTAAAGAAGAGTATAGTCAAGAAGGGGTAGACTGGTTAAAGACCGTTGGACAAAGGGGAAGATGGGTAATATATATATATATGACAGAAGAAGGCAAGAAGAAAGGGATTTTTTCTCCAAAAAAGAGAATAAGGAACAGAAGAACGAGAGGAGACCTCCAACGACAAAGTAAAAGCCTAGATTTTGGTTACAAACCTAGATCTTGTAGTTCTCAACGAGATTGCCTCTTTTTCTTCTTTGCTCTTTCAAATATGGAACAATATGTCAAAGATGTAAGCTTATCATTTACGTTTGATGTCTTTTTAATCATCCTAAGAAATGTTATACAAGCTTGGTCTCATTTGATTCTCGTATTCAATATGCTTAGATCTAAAGTTAATTATGTTTGGCTAGGATTTATCCTCTATTTTCTTCATTAATTAGTTTAACCCAAATGTTCAACACTTTTTGGTCAAACAATTTAAGCTTGGTCTCATTCGATTCTCGTATTCAATATGCTTGGATCTAAAGTTAATTATGTTTGGCAAGGATTTATCCTCTATTTTAACCCAAAGGTTCAACACTTTTTGGTCAAACAATTTGGCGCCGTCTGTGGGGATTTCTTAGCCAAATTTTTAGTTTTCTTTAGATCTAGAACCAGCCAAGTATCACTTCTAGGCTATCATAGTCTCACCATCTCGGTATAAACACCAATTCGAAAGAATGGTAGATACGCTTTTGAGATAACCGTACCAATCTAGGTCAAATCTCTACATAAAATAAAAATTGTGACCAATGTCTATGCAAAACCCATGCCTCACCTGTAGCGATGGGTTTGGCACGTTATATGCATGTTTAAAGTAGAATCACTGTCACTATGCGCTTGGCATGACCGCAATCCCATTTTGACGATTCACCTTATATACTGGTCGGTACTTTCACCTCTTAGGGAGGGACAATAGCCTGCTGTGTGATCCTTCGAAATAGCGACGGGGTCGGACTGGGACTCGGTCTCGGTATCCCAACAAGCGAGATAAGTCCAACTCATGAGAAGCCCAGACGCGATTAACGACGAAGCCGAACACGGCTGCCAAATCTGAAACCATCATTCGAGAGTACGAGGTGAAGCGAGCGAACCTACAACGCCGTTCCTCCTTTCACCGACTTGCCAGGGCAAGGTAACGGGCAATTTCGTTTGGGTTTCACTTATCACACTCTCTTGTTGGTTCATAACAGGAACACGAGCACTCCCATAGGCACGCGAACAAGGAACGAACGCCACCTAAACACCCCAGGGAAAGGTTCCGTACCATGCCATCTCGCAAGCAATGACCGAACAAAGCCCTCTAAGCCACACCATACTACAAATAACAGAAACGGTTCGGCACGGGTCGACTATTGAAAAACAATCTCCAATGAAAGCAAAGTTAAGCAAACTGGGACTCACCCATGAAATGTATAGTATTCTCCAATGAAAGCAAAATTAAGCGAACCGGGACTTGCCCCGATGCTCGCGTAAAGAACACGGCGACAAGTAATGTTCTCCAATGAAAATAATACAACGGGTTACAATTCGACCTCGCTCGAATTAACACCCTTACGGCCATCGGCCATCGCCAAACGAAAGGAAAGTTCGACTTGCTCGAATCTACAACGGGTTACAATTCGACCTCGCTCGAATTAACACCCTTACGGCCATCG